AATCCGTAATGTTCACGAAGTGGGTGTAATCTTGACAAAATGGTCTACTCCAGCCTCGAAGCTTCTCAAACATCGTAGGCGCAGTTTGCGCCGAACATAGTGTAACGGGGCGTGAACAAAGCTTGAGAAACGAACTTGGCAATATTGATAACCACATAGGTGTGCAGCATGTTATTTCATGAAGTACAATTTTATTCAACCAGTATTCTGTTCATTTGCTACGAAAATAATCACTGAACAAGTTTTTTCAGAATGGCCATCATAATGATGCCATTGTTTTTGCATTATCAACTAAAATAGAGAGTGCTCCTAGGATGACCGGCGTCATGAGATTTAAAATGAATGGAAATATTTCAAGCTCTTCACTCGAGACAAGAGCCCCAAGATAATTATTCATGCCCTGGAATGTGAATGAAACTTACTTCTCCTCCAGGATGTGAAGTTAGCTGCTCCTGATGGCTCCAATATAGAAAATTTTGCTGCTCCAAAGTGCTCCAAAATAGAAAATTTCACTGCTCCAAAGTGCTTCAAAATGAAAAAATTTGCTGCTTGAAATTTTTCTGCTCCAAAAGTTACTCCAAATCGGAAGACCTCTATGTAACAAAGTAATTGTGGGGGACAAGCTTTATATAACAAATTTTCCACACGGACAATCTAGGAATTTTGCCCAGGATTTTGTCATTTTGGTACGAGTATGCCTCTTCCGCGGTTGCCCCGCCATTGACAAAGCAGCAACGGCACTGCCGGTGGAAACGACGCGAAAACAAGTGCTTGTTATTGCGTGTGGTTGAGCGGAAGGCGGGCAGGCGGGCCTGTGCCCCATAAGCTGGCGTTGCCGCCGTTTTTGCCACTGCGGGTGCATGCCCGAATGTGGCCCACTTTCACTAACCAAAAACGAAGGAACACTACTTTTGTGTTGGCTGTGCCACGATTTTAGTTTGTGTTACATATGTGGGGCTGCACTGCATATGGAGGGCACTGTACAGAGTATTTTTTCGCAGTATCCGTGTTGTTCGCTCTTCGTTTTCGACAAGTGCGCATGCATGGTTTCACTGCGTGCGCATGGTGTGTGCCTTGACAGCGTTCATCTTTACTTTTTCGTTTCTCTCCTTTCTTTATTTTTTTAAATGCGGACAACACTGTCGTCGCTGGCGAGAGAATTTCAGATAAGGCGCCGATTGAAACTCTCCAAGACAATGGTAACGACGGATCTTCGGACGTCGACTCATCACGCACTTATGTTTTGTGCCGCAAGTTCGCAGGCTCGTAGTTTTCGCGATTAGCTAATTAGCTCTGGCAACAACATGGTGGAGCTTTGAATTTAATATTCAATAAACACCATGGCCAAAAATTGTAATGTTATACGAAGTAAGACGGGCAGCCTTAATTCATATAACATCACAATTTTTTATATAACATTACAATTTTTCGTATAACATTACCTTTTGGATCCAGTATTGCGGAACTACGAAATGCTGCAGGGTGTTAGCAAATACGGCCACTCCAGGGAGAGGGGCTCTTTTCACGCGATTTGTTTGCATTGAAAGTGCACTGATATACATGCAGAGACAGCATGCACACTAGCGATCATGACTGCCCTTAAAATCAGTTTGTTGTTGCTTCAGGAGCGACACCCCCACCCTTCCTTCCACGTTTTTTCATGATTGTTCTAAACGGGTGGTTTCGTTTTTGTTTGAACATTCGACAGCATTTCGAACTCACGAGGGATCTTGTCTTGCACGGCTTCCAAGTGATAGGGATGGGCCAACTCATTTGATCTCTGCTTCAGCAGCGCTCGCGCGCCTTTATCGCTCATGAAAGTTGCAATGCGTAGGAGCATGTTATCAATTTAAAGTTGTTACGGAACATGGCGGCGACGACGAAAACCCGTCAAGAGAATGCATATAACTGCTGTCACAATAACGCAGTTGTTAAATAGGTTTTTTTAGATAGCTCTGCCTTCAGCCCCGCTTTCATTTAATTTGTATCTTTATTTTGCTATATCCAAAGCTCATGCACTTATTCGTTGCTTCTATCACTTCTTACCGAGGAGGAAGTAACCGCTGCCATATGCTCACTAAGGAATAGTTCACCAGGCGAAGATGGCATTGCCATTATACCTATGAATGCAACTATTGATTTCGTTGTCACTTCGATCACTTACATATGCAACAGGATTTTTTTGAAGGGAATGTTTTTTTCATGGGCCATGAAAATGGCTCGTGAAAAATTATTTTCAAAGGAGGCAATAAAAATGAACTTCAAAGTTATCGCCGAATATCTATATTACGTTTCTCAAAGGTCGCGGTACGCTTGATATATATGAGAATATATTCCTTTAGAGCAAATGGAAATGTAATTTGTGAAGAACAGTGTGGATTTCAACCAGGTAGATCAACACAGACTGCCCTACTCCGTATCAAGGACAGCCTACTTCAAAACTTGGAAAAGAAGCTTTACGCTGTAGGAATATTTCTGGACATCCGTAAGGCTTTTGATTCGATAAAGCACGACATATTAAGAAGCTAGAAATGTATGAAATACACGGAATTGCTCTTCACCTAATGAAAGGCTACCTCTGGACAAGAAAACAATATGTACAGCTCAATAATTTTAAGCCCGAGTTAGGTATAAGGTATGTGGTTCCTCAAGGATCGATACTTAGCCTTCTACTTTTTATACTCTTCATCGACATCGTAAGCATTCTTTCTACACCAAACATCGTCATGTATGCCGATGAGACCAATGTATTTTTTTCTGGTTAGATGAACTAATATTATAGCTTACAGTCAACTAGTTAGAATTAAATAGGAAAAAAAACAATTTATGCTTTTCAAGCAAATAAATAGACCTGTAGATCATGCTATCTCTTTAATTTACAATGACGAAAGTATTGCCCTGGTGAACAAAATTCTATTCCTGGGCATATGGTTTCAAAGCGACCTTAAATCGTCCGAAATTGTTAACAATCTTCGATTAAAAACATCAAGGGCAATCGGTTTAATTCGACGCTTGCAGCATCTACTCTCGGGAAGAGTTAAATGGCAGCTGTACTTTGTTTTTTTATCCACTCGCAAATTATATATTCTATTCTAGTCGGGAGACAAAAAAAATAGTGATAGTGTTACTGTTTTCCAAAAATGTGTGCTATGTCTACTATCTCGGTCCCAACAAATATGTCCTATTTCTGTGTGTATAACGTTCTACCATTCCCAGAATGCTATACGGTACAACTAGCCATGTGAATCTACGAAAAAATTAAAAGTAACTTTCAGAGTTTTTTTTTTTATACATACATACTGAAGCAGAGATCTTCCATATAATCTGCGCACTGTTGCATTGGTGGGGTCAATGCGTCAGTCTAGCTATGGTGCGCAGTCTGTTGATAACCAAGTTGTTCTACTGTGCTACAAGATTCGTGAAGTAATTGAATGTGCTAGGGAGACTAAAAACATTACACAATTTAGGAAGCTAATAACGAATGTAATGATTTTAACCCACTTGTGGGATGCATGTGCTGAAAGCAGGTGATGTAATATATTTATTGTATTATGTTAATAGGGCTGATGATGATGCCTTTTGTATTTATTGCTAAAAACAGCTTTGTTTGAATATCTGATATTTTTCCGCTTGTTTCTCGCTTATTTATTATTTGTATGCATGTTATTCATTATTTCTATGCACTATTTCGCTATACTTGCCCTAAGTGCCTCACAAAGAGTGGGCCAAGTCGGGAGACTCTTTTCTTGCCCCTTTTGTGGACATTTTGTGAGAATTCCCAAATAAATGAATAAAAATAAGTTTTCGTACCAAACTTTCATATAATGAAATTCTCTTTATAACGAATTTTTCTGGGAATTTATCAGTTTTGTTATATCCAGGTTTAACTGTATCTGCAAACATGTGAGATGAATACAGCGTTGCTTAAGGACACTCAATATTCTATTGCAACAAGTATAATGACATAATTATTGAATTTGTTTGTTATAGTAACTCGTACTAATTAAGTTCAATAAATATCTATTCTGAAGCCATTGATGCTTTGTTTTGGCATAAACCGAATGAACTATCAGGCTGGAAATATAATGCAAATTCATTTTTGGTTATGTCCATCTTAAAGAAAGAAAAATTGTGGTTTTCACATGGCTAGCAGGAAGCGGCACAACGCACGACTCGTCGAACGTAGTAGTGCCTTCGGAAAAGTCATTATAGGTATCAGCACACTGCAAAATGAGGTTAAATGAACACAAATTCATTATGCAGTGGGTTTAATTAATCCAAAAAACTATATACCTTGCTCTTTCTTAGTGATTAGTCAATGCAAACAGCAAAAACTAGTTGTGTACATAGCGTCTGAAAAGGTCAAGATGATCCATAAACTTGCCCAATCTTTACCACTGTCACTAAATTATTGATTTCGAAGTATATTCTCATGCTAAGACCACCATGATGCTGTACAAGTTGTAAGATCGTGCCAAAATCTGGGTTATTTATATATATTGGGCCCCTGCTTACTTATTGTATTTTAATAAAACCTAAGCAGACAGTAGTGAAAATGTTGTGGGAAATGGTTTTCGAGCATGAAGACTGCTTATTAGGCCTTCTTCTAGGTGAAAGTGGTATAAGAAAAGTTCAATAATTCAAAATCGAAAAGGACTATAATGTCCAAATTCAGTAGAGTTTGAATGAGCAGGCGGGCACTCAAATCGACTTGCTACATGGGCGAAATCCAAAGAAGCCGTTGTCGATACTGGTGGATTCGAATTTTCGAGAGTTATCACCCCATAAAGATATGCTGGGTTGTGCCAGGACCAGGGCGTCACTTCGAATTGTACTGCGAGATAGAATTAACAAGCTTTTACTCTATCTGGTTTAGCTTAAGGGAATCTCTCAATTCGAAACCTTATAGATTTTGGTCTTGTGAACTGTGCTAGTGGTGTAGGCCCCTCTTGCACTTGCCCTCTTCCTGCGAGTGAACTGTTGTGTGCTTGCATGGTCAGCTCAAGCAGCTCGAAGAGGCCCGCCGTCGAGAGCTGGCCAGCCTGCTGGACCAGCTGGCATTATTTTTCGACAGACTGGACATCCCGCCCGAGGAGCAAGATCGCATTCGTAGCTCTAATACGGGCCTAACGTCTTCGACTCTGGCTGCAGTAAGTTGGATTTTTTATTTATATACGAATTTGGAGGATGCACCTAAAATATTTGTATCATCTCGAATTCGTATGAACCAAAAAACCAAAAACCGGTTAAAACTGATCATGAAGATGAACTTTATTGGGGTCAACTACTACTTGCTACAAAAAAATTCCATAATCTTCCATGAACTTTTCTGCCTTCACCTCCTCTCAAAAACGGCCGCGGTTTCCTCATGCTGCTGGTGCTTAACGGGCGTTCACGCTTGGAATCAAAGAGAGGGATAGCGGCAAAACTTATCAGAAATCCACTAGCTTCGTTAAGCGGCCAAAAAAACGCACCGTGAAGTCGACTCGATAATATCAGTAACGCGATAGAACTCAGGCACAAGCGCCAGAGCGGGCGTGAAACCACGTTCGCACCCGCCGAAAATTATTTACATTTGTTCTGCCTACCGCCACCGCCTTCGCCCCTTGAAAACTCGTTTCATTTTGCCCGTTTCCTAAGAATTAAAATTCGTACAGAATTTTAGTTATGCATGCAAAACACACACAAAAAAAACAGTTTACACTGGTACAAACGTTGTTTCGGGAAATGCACCAGCAGAAACGACAGGAACGAATGCACCGCAGCAGCGTCGACGGATTCAGCCGGCAGTACAAAAGCGAGAAAGACATGTTAGGGCATGTCGACGTGCTGCTGCTAAGCCTTCTTCGAAATCCGCTGTTCATAATTCAAACCAGGCTCTCGATGAACACGTCCTTGTCAAGAGAGAGAGAGAGAAGAAACTTTATTCAAGTGTCCCTGCTGGGGTCAAAGGTGGCGGGGGGCCGGGAGACCGGCCCCTCTGTAACCCCCTTCCTTAGGCGGCGGCCAGGCCTTGAATCCTGGCGGCGTCTTCGGCCAGCCGGACAGCCCAGAGCTGGTCCTCCGGGCACGTGCTGAGCAGCCAAGCCTCCCACTGCTCGGCCGTGGTGATTGTGAATGTAGGGTTCGTGCTGTGTTTAACTGAGTAAGTAGCTTCGGGGCAGGCCCATATAATATGGTCGAGCGCAGCGTTAGGTGCACCGCACGTTTTGCATTGTGGTGTGTGAATAGCGGGGTAAATACGGCTGTACAGTGACGGACAGGGGAAAGTGCGTGTCTGTAATAGACGCCAGGTAGTGGACTGCTGCTATAAAACACTTGTCTGGTGGTGGGTATTTAAGTCTGGCCTTGCGGTAATACATTAGGATTTCTTCTCCAAAGGTAACCATTCTATCCCTCGCATTGTCGCGAAACGAGGAGACCATCATCTCTCGCTCAGCCGCGTTAGGTCGCGAGGGGTGGTGCTCTGTTGGATGACGCGCCCGGTGGACGAGAGCTCGGACGGCATCATGAGCGTGTTCGTTCCCCGCAAGCCCCGAGTGGCCCGGAGTCCAGATGATCTCAACGTGGCGACGACGTAACAGAGGTGTACTTGTGAGAATTCGGAGCGCCGGTTGGGAGATCAAACCTTTGGTAAAGTTGCGGATGGCAGTCTTGGAGTCGCTGATGAGGCAGGATGCTTGGGTTGAAGCGTAGGCGAGAGCGATGGCTGCTTCTTCGCGTTCTTCTGGTTTGTTTGCGTGAATGGTGCCAGTTGCGGTAATTATGTACTGCGGCCCGGTGGCGACAGCGAGGGCCATGGCCCGATGCGTAGGATATTCCGCTGCGTCTACATACGCCACGTACGTGGCATTCGCGTAACGCTTGCCTAGTTGCTTGGCGCGGTCTGCTCGTCTTTCCACGTTATATTCAGGGTGCATATTGCGTGGTATGGGGGGAGTCACGAAAGCGTCGCGAATGTCCGAAGGAATTGGGAGTTTCTGGCCAAACTGGGAGATGTAAGGTATGCCGAGTGAACACATGAAATGACGTCCTGTAGGAGTTTGGCCTAATCGTTCGTAGTGCGATATACGTTGGGCTTCAATGAATTCGTCTATAGTATTGTGAAGTCCTAGGTCATTGAGTTTCGCATTGGGCGTAGACATGGGGAGATGCAGCGCGCACTTGTAGCAGCGCCTGATCATTATGTTTAGTTTTTTCCCCTTGTCGGTGAGCGTAAGTTTCATAAATGGAGCAAGGTAAAGGATTCTGCTTATAGAGAATACGGTCACCAGTCGTACGAGATTGGCCTCTTTCATGCCGTGCTGTTTATTGGCGATGCGGGAGATGAGCGTAGTACTCTCATAGACATGATGGTGTAGTAGTTGCATTGTTTCCGAATTGCCGCCGTTCTGCTGAATGCGGAAGCCCCAATACGCGAATGGTAGGGATTGTTCGTATAGGGTGATGTTGCATATGCAGATTTATCGTGGGAAGGTCTCTGTTGTAGGGAGATCTAGGTCGATAGACGAGTAACTCTGACTTTTGGGGCGAGCAGGACGATCCTCGTTGTTCAGCGTAAGTTGTGGTTCTATCAATCGCCAGTTGAAGTGCATCTTGTATCTCTCCGTCACTACCTCTGGCAATCCACAAGGTGATATCGTCCGCGTATATGGTGTGGTGGAGGTGAGGGATATCTTCTAGAAGTGGCGGAAGGTGAAGCATGGCCAGGTTGAAAAGGAATGGAGAGAGGACTTACCCTTGTGGTGTCCCTTTCCCACCGAGAGTGATGGAAGGTGCAGGCAAATCGTTGTATGAGAGTGTGGCTGTCCTGTCCATTAAAAAGTTGCGGATATAGCGGTAGGTACGGGCGCCTACGTTGAGCATGGCGAGGGCGGCAAGGATGGATGAATGTAGCACATTGTCGAATGCCTTGGTAAGGTCTAGCCCCAGAATAGCACGTGTCCCATACCGAGAGCCGTCTTCACCGTCGATAATGTGACTCTTCAGTTGCAGCTTCACGTCTTGTGTCGAAAGTTCAGGGCGGAATCCGAGCATTGTATGCGGGTAGAGGGCATGTTCTTCCATGTACCTTTGTAGTCGAGTGTGAATAACATGCTCGAGTACCTTGCCGACACAGGATGTGAGAGATATTGGCCGAAGGTTCTCGATAGTGAGTGGTTTTCTTGGTTTAGGTATCAGAATGACTGTGGCGGTTTTCCATGTTGGTATTTCTCCCGACTCCCAAACCATTTGCAGATAAGATGTGAGCGTTTCAAGTGATTCTTCGTCAAGGTTTCGTAAGATTTTATTTGTAATTTTATCCGGGCCAGGCGCTGATTGGGGTCTCAGTTGTGAAACTGCGGACCTCACTTCCGCTTTTGTAGTCTGGGAATCGAGGGCTGGATTATCCACCCCATTGTAGCATGGGAGATCAACCGAAGTAGCACTGACAATGTACCGACTAGATAGGTCTTGGATAAGGTCTTCATTGGTACCTGGATAATTGTGAAGAGCGGTGATTAAGGAGTGGCGCTGAGCAGTTTTTGTCGATGTTGGTTCTATCATACTACGAAGAATATTCCATGTTTTGGGCACGTTAGGTAAGCGTTCCATAACGTTACAAAGCTGATGCCAGTTCTGGTGGGAGAGTTGAAAAGCGTAATCTTCAATTTGACGCGTTAATATAGCAATGCGTTTGCGTAATGAGCGGTTCAATTTGTTGGAGTTATAGCGCTTGCGCAGACCAGCGAGGGCCTCCCACATGTGCAGCAGCCTGGTGTATACCGTGTCGCCTACGGCGTCTTCTGGGGGAGTCTTAATAGCACGCTTAACGTCTCGTAGTAAGGAAGCTGTCCATTGGTCGATCGAGGTGGCAGATTCTGGAGAGGCCGTTGCCAGCAATTCGCGGAAGACATTCTAGTCAACGAGGGCAAGCTGTTTGGATTTCCTGCGCTGCGGGCCAGCCTTGACGATCGTTTGTATTATGTAGTGGTCGCTGCCTAGATGTTCATGAAGGTTGGACCACTCTGCATGCGTAATGTTCGCAGTGAAAGTGAGGTCAGGAGTGGTGTCTCTGGCAACGCTGTTGCCCAACCGCGTAGGGTATGCCGGGTCTGTGATAAGGGTGTAGCCAAGATTGTGGGTGTCTTGCCACAGCATTCGCCCTTTTCCGGTGTCGTGAATGTAGCCCCAAGCGGGTGAGGGAGCGTTAAAATCCCCTACCACGAGGAGGGGGGAAATTCTTGCCAACTTCTTGACATAAGATAGGAGCTTGTGAAAGCGATGTGGTTGTCGTGGGCTGCTGTAAACATTGACCAAGAACATACTGGTGGATGTCCGGCGAGATGAAGAGAGAATTTTCAATATAATGTGTGGCACTGTATCAGAGAGGGAGGGGTGTTGAATTACAGGGATATTTCATTTCACGAGGGTGGTAAGGACTTCGCGACTGTCAGGGGCTTGAGCAGCCATAAAGGAGGCGTATCCGACCAGCTTAGCCTGTCCGCCTGATTCCTGTAAAGCAATAATATCTGGTGTGTCTGTTTCTTTGAGTGTGGATAGAAATTGTTGTAGCATGCTCCTCTTACGGCGGTAGCTACGGCAGTTCCACTTCTAGATGCTGTACTGAGTGTGTGGATTACTCACGGCCATCTTGGTTAATGCGGCCATAAGGCTTCTGATGCGAGTGTTAGCGAGAGCAATGTGTACACCGCTCAAGCTTCGTGACTCTGCTATTGTAGCTGGGAAGAAGACTCGAAAGTGTGGCTTCAAGGTTGTTCTGGATAATTGTCGCTCGGGCTTCCAGCTTTCTGTCGAGCATTAAGGTGAGTTGGTGCTCTAACTTTGCTGTGAGGATTGAATCGAGGGATCGCTCTAGCGTTTGCGCGATGGTCTGTTCAAGCATTATCGGTAATTGCCGTTCAAGTACGGTTTGAATGGTCTCGTGGAGTTGCTGCTGCGGTACAGATTCTACAGGCAAATGGGTGCTGAGGCGGTAGGTGGTTGCGATGATGGTGTGGCTGGTTCTTCTGTGCCTGGAGCCTTTCGTTTAGGGGGTAAAGGGTTTGGGGTGGATATTGGCGTGGTCAGCAGAGTGAATCAAAGAAGAGGACGGAGGTTGCTGGGCAAGTTGTTTCCGAAGAGCAGTGTTTTCAACGCGAAGTTCCTG